CTTAGCTGTGGAGGGCAGTGTCACTGGCCCTCATATGTGGGATCTGAACCGGGGCCCTCTGGCATCCCAAGCGAGTTCTTAACCATCGTGCCACTCGGCCAGCCCCTATCATCACTTTTCTACTGACGGTGATTTTTTTTTTTTCTCTTCATAGTCTGGGACATGGAGACTGTTCATCTGGAGAAGCCACAGGCCTTGGAGTAATGCACTACACCTATGTCAATTGTTTGGTTAAGTACAGCATGCTTGATCAACTATTAAGTGCACACATTATTTTTAGTAAAATGTGATTCAATCTTGGGAGAAAAACTATGCTATATGTTCCCTTTACTCAGTTTACAACATTCAGTGACGTATTTTCCTTCTATCAGCATCAGTACCCCTATCTCTTCATTTTGGGAATAAGGGCCATTTTTTGGCTTCGTGTATGATAGAAACTGCCTCAGGAACACGCCCTGGACACAGACGTTCTTGGAACTTTCATTGATTTTGTTTGAGGCTTTAAATGCTTCCCCAGAAGGCTGATTACTCCCAGGCCTTCTTTCTCTGATAGGTCATATTGAATTCTCTCCAACTCTCTAATTTTAGTCATTCAAATTCCTACCTCCACCCCAAACTTCCTTTACATCTCTAGAATTAGCACCATCTGGGTGATGAAGAATTGACATCCATTAAGTAAATGTAAGCTGTTTAAAATTCTTATTTAGCTTACATTTTCTGCTTTGGTAATGCTACTTTCCTGGCTTCTTGAGAATTTCCAAAACCCTATGCTTATCTTTTATCATCATGTTACTCCAAACTCTGTGAGGTGTCCCCATAAAATCATAGGAATTTGGGAGGAAAAGAATTTTGTTACAGCCCTTCCTCTACACAATCAGCTTCTGGGAAAAAAAAACCCAAACAAAAACACAATTGCCAAGAATAAACACATTTTTTGATCCTTCTTATTTTCTGTTTGTAGGCCAGTGAAAATTTAATATATGAGTGTTCTTTGTAGAATTAATTGCACAGGCATATTTACATGGAGACTAGCATGACTTTTCTTACTGTAAGAAAACAGATCTATAATGTATCTTTTATTTAGGAGGCTGGACTTAATCAGTGTCATCTTCAGTACTTAGTGGTGCCGCCAAGGCAGTGTGGTCAGAATGAGGGTGGGATGTCAAATAATGAAACTTCAGGGAACTGGAGCTGGGTTGAGTCATGTAAGCAACTGTCTCAACTTCATTACCTAACACAGCACCAAAATGTGTTATTGTGATTACAGAGTGCTGATTTAAGAGGAAAATGAAAAGGATACATGCACACACCAGCAACTATGTGTCTAGAAAGGATGTGGAGAGCTAAGATATGAATGCTGAATAAGGCATCTCTTTTAAAATACAGTCTACAGGGGTTCCTTAATGTTTGGTGATTGAACTGTTTATTTGAAAGAATACTATGATGTATAAAGCAAAGAGCTCAAAATGTCTTTATAAATCTTAAGAAGCAGGCCTTTATGTTCCATATTCTGTTACAAAACACAAGTCCAAAAGCAGACTGAGGTGCAGGTGAAGAAGGTAAAAGGAGTCAATGAAATTGGCAAATGTTCAAAGTCTGTTTTTTCTCCCCAGATTGTCTTTCTCTCATTTCCCTCTTCGTATTTCAGGAATTTGGATATCCTTCTGTTTCATCAACCTCCTGTTTTCTGATTCAAACAAGGTAACAACTATAATTTGTTGATCAGGAACCATGATTTGTTGGTCTTTGCAGCCCCCAAGCATATCACAGTCTAGTGCCTGGCACATAAGAGGGACTTACTATATATTTGAATGTTAGTGTTGTCTTTACTTCATTTTTCTTTTCCAAAAATCCCCCCTTTTTTGTTATTTGTATAAGAATAAGGAAAACTTTCTCTGCATTCTTTTCCAATTTAATCAGGCTATCCCACACGCCTCTATTTTCTTGTTCAGAGCTATGAAATTTACAACCAATCAGGGAAGGTAGACATTGAACAAATAACTAGAAATGTGATAAATATTAGACAAGGAAAAGTTCAGGATGCAAGGAGGTATAATCAAATCTGGGAGATCATGGGAGGTATTCTTGAGGAACTGTGAACTGAAGGAAAATAAGATTTGACTACATGAAAATGGGGGATTGGGCAGGCAGTGGGAGGAGGGTATTCCAGGCAAATGGGACAGTATGCACCAAGCCTGGATTTGAAAGAGAGCATGGTTCATCCAAGGAAGCTGAAAGGTCGAGTTTTCCAAGCAGGAGTGTGAGAGTGTAACTCTTAAGAGGTCTCGATTGGACTTCTTTCCAGCGGCGTGTGTGGTCTCTGAGTGGCTCTGCAATGACAATAACATCAGTATTGCAATACTGAATGAGCTCTTTTGGTAAACATAGAGACATGCTTTCTGAATTTATTTGTTTGTTTTTTCCAAGTCATGGACAGTGAGTCAAGCAAATGAAACATCACCAAGCTTAGACAGTACCTCCCACTAAGTTCCTTGGTCTAAATTCTAGGGTTCCTTAAGTTCTACGACTGGCAGTAAACTGGTGGCCAACCTATTAATAACAAGTAGCAGCCACACCCAAGTCAGTGGTGCAGCCTATTGGGCTGAGCTTTTCCTGAGCTGCACTGAATCATGGAAATCATGCCAGGGATCCATGTTTTGGTCTTCCTTGCTTGTAGCTGTGGATGTCATCAGAAGTTAATATACACATTTCTGTAACCAAGACAAGGGTGATGGCCTGCCTTTCCTCATTGCATGCTACCTTTGTTTTCCATTTCTAGGCTTTTTTCAAATGCCTCTTTTAAATTTGATTGTCCCTGTATAATAATAACAATAGAGGTGGGGTACACAGAGTGGTAACCCATTCCCAAACCTGTCTCGCAGGTCCCTAAGCAGGCCTTATCCCTACACTCCTCTGGCATAATAACCTCTGGCAAGCCCATGGGTAATGGAGGACAAGCAGGAATATTATTCATTAACAAATTCCCAAAGCACACAGAATTTCTTCTCAAATTAACCCCTATAGCTGAGGCATATTGATAGGCAACACAAAGTGTACACTCAACAAACATTATTGAAAGTGTTCCAGTAGTCTTCTCAAAGAGAGTGGCAGACTGAGATGTATATGATTGTACAGGGATTAGGGAGCACATTCTCTAATGCCCAGATGCCTCAGATTTAGTGGTGGTGGAATCCCATTTATTTTGTGAAAGCCAAATAAATGGTTGTCCTGACAATGGTTAGAAAGCAGGATCCACTCTGTTTTGTGAACACATAAGACTGTAAAATCATTTGTTATTGTCAGGGGTTTGGAGTGGGGTGTGGGACGAACTTGCATGATTTTTAATTGTGTTTCAGGTGACAGAATGGGAGTTAGAAATGTTCTGGATGAACTAGAGTTCATTGATTCATCAGATTAATTGATGCCTCAAAATTTATTGACCGATTTTTATGTTTCAGGCACTGTATTTGGTCCTGAGGACACAAAGATGAAGAAGTCATAGTTCTGGCCCTCCAAATGCCAATAGTCCTTGGAATATATATGTAAATAAATGAAGAGGATACAATATATATATTCCTGTCGAGGTAGGTAGGAAGGTTGAAGTCAACAGAGTGGTCAATTTCACTTGAAAGGAAGGCTGTAATCAGGGAAGATTGCCCAGGGAAAGTGATGTTTGGTTCAGTGAATAAGCCTTTTCCACAGACAAGAGAGAATAAGGGCACCCCAGACAGAGGGAAGAGTGTGTACAAAGGCAAAGTGACATGTCACAATAGAGTACATGGAAGAAACTACAATCAGGTAGAACTGAAATGTGGAGCACATGGTGAGGTGCTACTCAGTAGTCATGGCCATGGCAGTGGAAGTGTAAGAAATTGTGGGGAGCTGACTGTGAGCAGTCAGGGACCACAAGGATGCAAGCTGGCAGGCTGGCAAGCCTTCATATCTCTGGGTGAGCAGCTTGGGGAACGTTTCACCCCCACTGTACCGTTGGAGAGCAAAAAGCAGCTGAAGCTACAGGCTGAAAGCAACTAAAACTGCAGACTGCATAACGGGATGTGATCCTGCAAACAGTTGAACTTGCTAAACATAACCTTTGCTAAGGGGAAATTGTTTCCCCATACCCCCTTGCAAAGAGGGAATTGCTCCCTCTATATAAGCCTTGTGTAAAAAAATAAACTGCGCCACTGCCCGCCATCAGTGGATGGTGGACTTCCCAATCCCAGCTTTGCTTCTGTGTCTTTCTTAATCTCCCACCCAATCCACTCAGGCAACTCCGGTTGTTGAGCGGGTCTTGACAAGAAATGCCTGTGTCTGAGGCACAGGGAGGTACTAACTTTCCGCAAAGTAGTTTATACACTTATAACCTAAGATAGACATTCATGGGAGCTCACAGAACTAGAAATCAATGCATATGTAAGTGACCTAAAAAGGCATGTTGTACACTGTAGTTGTTGATTTTGCCTGACCCCAAGGACTTGAATTTGCAATGATATAGGCCTAGAGTAGCTGGCAACCATCTTGTGACTCATGGGGCCTGAAAGCAGGGTCATTGGATAGGGGCGTAGCAGACAGATGGGAGAAGATTAGATCCTGGTGACATGATTCAGCTCCTGGATTAAGGCATACCTGAAACATGTCTATTTCTGAGCTCTTTATATACAAGAGATAAGTCAGGTTGAATTATTTATTTAAATCAGTTTGATTTTTTTTTTTGGCAATTGTGACTGAACAGATACATCTGGCCTCTTCATTTTATAGTTTAGGACACTAATATTCAGTATGACAAAGTGATTCATTATTAAGTGGCTAGTTAAAAGCTAGACACAGGTCTCCTGACGCAGGCTTAGGCACATCCAGCATTTTTTTTTTTTTTTTTTAGCTGAGCCATCCTGTCACCTGTTGGCAGCTCAGCGGCTGCTCAGCTCAGGCCGGGACTTGAACTGCTGTTGCTCAGAGCTCAAACTCTTTTTTTTTTTAAAGATTTTTTTTTATTGGGGAATTGGGGGGATGGGAACAGTGCTGGGGAATTGGGGAAGGGGAACAGACAAGTTGCTGTCCTTTTGTTCTTCAGTCTAGTTGTGGAGGACGTTGCTTCACTGGCCCAAGCTGGCATCATCATTGCGCTCTTCCCAGGTGAGGCAGATCAGTCGCCGGCTTCTGGACGGCCGCTCACTGCGGCTGCTGGCCACTCACGCTGGCTGCTGGCCGCTCACGCTGGCTGCTGGCTACATACGGTAGCCCATGGCAACCCACTGCCACAGGGACTGCAGCCTACGCCGTCGCCGGCGACTCATGGCAGCCCAGCTCCAGGTTGAGCTGTTGTTCAGCATCTTAGCTGTAGAGGGCAGTGTCACTGGCCCTCATATGTGGGATCCGAACCGGGGCCCTCTGGCATCCCAAGCGAGTTCTTAACCATCGCGCCACTCGGCCGGCCCAGAGCTCAAACTCTTGAGCGAGCTCTTAACCAACTGAGCCACTCAGCCGGCCCCCAATCCATCCAGCATTTTTAAAGCATGTGCATGTAAGGGCCTAAATATACATGTATCTAGAAATCTGTTTTGCAGTAACCATACATTGGAGAATGGGATTAAATTCAGTTTGAAAATTATATTGCTGAGTGACAATGTTGTAGAAAGACCATTCAGCCAAGAGTCTGACATTATCAACTCATGGATCACTTTTGCCACTAATGATCTTTGTGACCTTGGGCATATCTTTTTGGGCCTCAGTTATTCATGGGGTTTGATTATCTCTAAATCCCCTTACATTTCTGGGATTCTAAGCGTAAGTATGCTCAATTTTCAATTATCCATGGTAGAGCTTACATAATTCTACATACCCTGGGGAAATATTCCTTCTGAATTATTTTTGATATTATTGGGTTCAACTCCACAAATATTTACTGGACACTGATTGTGGGCTAGGTGTTGAAAAGCAAATAGCTATTTCTAGTCAGTATTGCTTACTTACTATTATATCCTCAGATGCAATTTGATATTGTTTATAGCCCCAAAGTATTACTCAATGTCTTCTAACCCAGAGAATGTGTAATCCCAAATAAGAGCAGGATTAGAGAGAGGGCTAGACTGTCACTGTGCATCAGTCAGAGAGGTGATGCCATAAGTATCCAGCAGTCAGACGGAGGGAGAGAGCAGAGAAGTGCAGGCAGAAGTGCATGCAGATTGGAAACCAAATGTGTGTACAAAGGTGCATTCATGCTCACATAAAACTGGTTTTGGATTATGTCTTTAGAAGATCTGCACCATAGTTATCACTGTGGATAACTTTGGGTCCTTTCAGAGTGGTTGCCTCTGAGGTTAATAACAACTTGTTAATGTTTTTCTTTATATGGCTTGATAAGCACTTAATTGCTTGAAGAGTCTTTTGGATAATCTTTTTGGGCTATAACAATTACTTTGATTCACCAAAGTAATTTTCTAGCTTGTGTGAAGACCTGCTTTGGTCCATTTCTTGGCCTGTCCACATTTGAAGAGTTCCATTGGCTGGGAAATCTCCCTGGAGCTTTGCATCCCCACTTGCAGAGTCTTGAGGAGGGGTAAAGACGTGCCGGTTCTGCGGCTCTGCGGTTTGCTAGAGCGGGATTCCATGTCCTCTCTAATCATCTGTGCCCGTGGGACCCTGTACACATAACTGAAGCTCAGTAAGCCTTAGTTTTGTCATCAGTCAAATGGGAATAATGATATCTCCATTAAAGGATAGCACAACCCAGTGATTATTTACAGCATAGCTTAAATAAATGTTATTAAGTAATACAGTATTTGTGTGGTTTTATTTGGACTTTGTTCAATTGATGTATTAGGTTTCAGAGAAGAAAAATGAGAAGAGCACAAGATAATCGAACTTGTAAGGTTGATGTATAGTATGAAGATGCACCATAATTTGATAATTTCATTTGACCAGAGATAAAAGTGGTAGAATTTGTCCCAGGTTAACTACTACTTTTGCTTTGTTACAATGGGAAAATCATTTATCTTCTCTAGACTTCTATTTATCCATAGTTAAATTGAGGATAGTATTTCTATCTTATTTCATAGAAACTGAAAGAAGATAATGAATATGAATGTCTTTATGAGAGTAGAAAACATGAATGTTAAAGTTCATTGCTAATATGATACAATTAACAGTAAATGTTAATATTATTACACACCATTCCTGTTTTTGCATAGTACAAACTGTTTTACATCCATATTGGCCCCTGCAACTAATTAAAATACTATTTTCTCTGCTTATTAATTTCTGTAAGGCTAACTAACATTGCCTTTGTACTTTATAAAGGGACCTAAAAAAGCAATATTTGTCAGACGTTTCA